TATAAGCCTTATTTGTGGATAAATTATAATAAAAGTATAAATATAATTATCAATAATTCAAATATGATTTTAATTTATAATTAATTAAACTTATTGGCTTTGCTCAAAATATTTAATATGCTAGATTCTCATTTAATTATCCTATAAGGATTATTATTTCATTTAATAAAAGAAATCAATTTTTAAGAACTAGAAACTCCAAAATTTTTCTGTTAAAAAATGGTTTAATAAAATGAATAATTCAAATTTTTAATTGAAATATATAGAAAAAAATTATTACTTTTTATTAAAAGGGTACTTAATGAGTTAAATAAGAAATGATTTATAAGTTTCGAGATTATTTTGATGCTGACAAGCCTTTTAAAAAGGTTGTAAACTAACGAAAAGGAATTCAGTAGATATTAGTAACAATAATTAAGCAATTAAATATTTTCTCAAATATTTTTTATTTTGTAAATCAATTTTGATTACATCATGCTGCTTTTTAGATTATTAATACTATCAATGAGTTCTTATTAGTAGATTTTGTACCATGAAAGTTTCACAAGCAATTCCTTCATAACTTCAGAGGGTATTTAAATATAGTAATTGAAGAGTGGGTGTTAAGTGGGGAAACTTTAATATATAGTAACTGTGGTACAGTACGACTCTTTGGGGGATTTGGAGCATTTGGTAAAGGCACTTCAGCTACAAAGTTAATTTAGTTACCACCTCATCATACAATTCAAATAACTCTGGAATTTTGGAAGTAAGATTTTTAGGAATTATAGAATTGATTCATGGGATAGTGAAATTTTTTTCATCTATTTAGATTAGGTTTCAGGTTTCTAATAAAGCTATGGAAGTGGAGGTACTTAAATTTGCGGAGGAGGATAAGGTGAAATAATTCAGCAGATAAGCATTACGAAAGTTCATAACTTTTAATCTCTTTTTATCCTCATGACATCAAGTTTAAATGAGAATCATTCAAATGTATTCAAATCATATACTAAAATATTAGGAATCTTGGGGAATCAGAAATTTTTAATTATATATATATCCTTGTCCTTCTGGATGCTAAACTTGCATTTCAACAGATTCTAGAGTAGATTGTATATTTTGGAGTATTGTTGAAGATAGTCTAATTAGTGTTGATTTTAGCACTTTTAATTCTGATGGTTGGACAATAGATAGAGGATAAAAATATACTAGTAATTGTTTATGTAAGTCTTTTAAATTAATTAGCGATTCCTATGCTTGGAGGATATGATTATACTGGAGGAAATAGTTATATTTTCAAAAAAATTAATTTACCTGCTCATAGTCAGGTTAAAATTAAATTTAGATTTATATTTATTGATTCTTGGAATTCTGAAAATGCCTACGTTTATGTGGATAATATTATGGTTTGGACATAAAACTTTGATTACTAAAGTAGAGTTATATAGAATCTATGTGGATGGTCTTATGATGATATACCTCACAATGATGAAATAACATTATCTCACTCTTAACAAACAATAACACTAAAATTCACAACTGATTTAGATTAAAATCCAACAAATGAAGCTTTTGGAGTCAGAGATATATAATTATATATTCGTAAATTTTGCCGATATTATTAGCTTGTCTTTTTGGTTCCTCTTTCAATCAAGCCTGTGGAACTATTTGTGGAAATGGAGTATTAGAATAAAATGAATAATGTGATGATGGTAATATTTATGCTTTTGATGGATGTTTTAATTGTTAATATTCATGTGTTGAAGGATGTTCAAATTGTATTGATGGTATTTGTTTTGAATGTTTAAATGGATGGATATTCTATTTAGATTTTAATACTTGTATTGCTATTATTGATGATAGTAAATTTTAAATTTGGGAAGAATGTGATGATAATTTACATTTTGAAATTTGTTTAAATGGTAAATTTATTTGTCCATTAAATTGTTAATCTTGTTAATTTGGTATTTGTTTATAATGTAAATTAAATTATGAATTAATTAATAATAAATGTGAATCTATTTGTTAAAATTAATTAATTGTTAATGATATTTAATGTATAGATAATAATTTATAACCATTTGATAAATGTCATTAATGTTAATATGATTTACAATAAGGTTGTTAATTATAAATTAATGGATTTTGTATTTCATGTTTAAATGGATGGATATTAGATAATACATAATATATTTGTATTCCTATTTGTGGAGATCTTATTATTAATGGAGATGAATAATGTGATATTAATTAATATATTAAATAATCATTTGGATGTAATTAATGTGAATTTAATTGTTAACATTAATGTATAAATTGTTAATTTGGAAAATGTTATGATTGTATATAAGGTTGGAGATTAATAAATTATTAATGTGAATCTATTTGTGGAAATAATTCAATTTAAGGTTTAGAAGAATGTGATGATATGAATTCAATTAGATTTGATGGATGTAATAATTGTAGAAATGATTGTTAAAAAGAATGTTCATATTGTTAAAGAGGAATATGTTTAGATTGTATTTATGGTTGGTATTTAACTGATTAATTTATTTGTGAATCTTAATGTGGAGATAATTTAATTGCTTTAATATCAAATGAAGAATGTGAAGATTCTAATTATGATTAATTTGATGGATGTTATTAATGTAAAATTGAATGTTGTCATTATTGTAATATATGTATTTATGGATATTGTTATAATTGTGAATATACATTTACATTAATTGATTAATATTGTATTCCTATTTGTGGAGATGGATTAATTACTATTGGATATGAATAATGTGATGATATGAATCAAATACCATATGATGGTTGTTATAATTGTAATTATTAATGTAGATAATATTGTAAATTATGTATTAAAGGTATATGTTATGATTAATGTGAATATGGATATTATGAATTTGATTATTAATGTTATCCTATTTGTGGCGATGGAATTATAGTTCATTAAGAAGATTGTGATGATTTAAATGATAATTAATTAGACGGATGTCATAATTGTTAATTTCTATGTCCAAATCATTGTGAAATATGTTAAGAAGCAAAATGTAAATTATGTGAATAAGGGTATGAATTAAATCTTATCCAAAACTAATGTTCAACATTTTGTGGTAATGGTTTAGTTTCATAAGAAGAGGAATGTGATGATATGAATAAACAAGATGGAGATGGATGTTC